GATTAATATAAAAGATATGCATTAAAATGGGGGATTTGAAAATCCATGCATAGACTATAACACTCACACAGGAAAGTTCTGGTTGCAGCCAAAATGTTTTAATCAAAATCAGAATGAAAGTTTTAATAAGCTTGGGTGAATCCCAAGAATTACAAAACTATCCTTCGGTAGATAAAAAGCAAACAGAGAAACAGTTCAATTATAATGCTCAATAGATCCAAAATACAGATGGTTGGAATAGGAGAAGAGAGAAAAAAGAATGGAATAAAGGTTACTAACTGGGGTACTTCATATTGCAACACTTTTTGTGTCTTCACATTCTGAAACCAGTCCCTTTTTTTCTTCTTCTCTTAAAAAGCTAAATACAATTTCATTATTATCACCTTCTGACTCAGGACTGAAACTCACTTCTAAAAAAATTATTTGCAAAGTATTATTTACAATTAGCATTGTTCACATTTGCTGCAGTAAAACAAGTTATATGGATAGGAAAAAGGGCAGTTTATAAACTCCAATGAGTGAATATGCTTTGCTTAAAGAGATATCTTACAACGAACAATTTCATCAACCACAGTAGATAAAAGTTAAACTATTTTATCAGCCAGAGCTGCAAATTTTAACTGAAAAATAAAATAAACAAGAAGTACCCAGTGAAAGAAGTTGTAGGAAAATACAATACAAATCCAGGAAGCTGAAAGACAATATAGGAAAGCAAGAAGCTAACCTAAGTGCTTAACTTACAAAAAGAAAGAACTGGAAATTCAGACTGCCTGGAAGATCAAAGCCTCGCTTCTTTGCTGGATGGAGATAGAATGACAGTGTGCCTACTTTTATTTATTTTCTTATTTTACAGCATTTATATGCTAGCTATTTTGCAAGACTCTGGGTGTCTCACAATATAGAACCTTAACTTTTGAAGTATTATTTGTTGAACAAAACATAATGATTGGGTACACATGTAAATTTAAACCATAACAAGTGGTTCACACATTGTGTAAATTAAAACCAAAGTTAGTGTGATTTGTGAATACAGACACTTCAGTTACTTGATACTAAACAAAAGATGCTCTGGATCCCAAAACTAGAACTCCACAAAATATTCAATACAATTCTTAGGAAAAAATTACACTTACTAAGTACTCATAATATGTACAGTAGTTAACATTAGTTATCATATATTACAAAATTTCTCTCTAATTAAAAACATATGTACCAAATGTCTGTCCCATATGCTTCTATGGGACACATAGGAGTGCCTTCTTTGTGATTTTCAGGCACTATATACTGGGAGATTGAAGCACCTAAGTCCTTCATTAAGTAATATCATTACTAAAATCTTGACATCTGAATTGCAACACACATATAGCCAATGCAATTATTTTAGATATGATATTATGTGGATTCTAAAGGGCAATAGCCGCATTGGACAACAGTGTCACTGCTGCATTCTGCATTAGTTACAGTTTCTGAATCATTGTCAAGAAATAACTTCGTTCAGCATCTTTTGGTAGTTTTAATGCGAAGTTAATGGGAGCATAAACTGATCCGTTTATTGTAAGTTGTAACTGCTGGAACAGGTAAAGCCAGAGCCTCAATCTATTGGAGTCAACTTCAGTTTATTGGTCCTTAACCAACCTATTATAGCTTATAACACTTAAGACTTATATACCACTTCACAGTGTTTTACAGCCCTCTCTAAGTGGTTTACACAGTCAGCATATTGCCCCCAACAATCTGGGTCCTCATTTTACCGGCCTCAGAAGGATGGTAGGCTGAATCAACCATGAGCCTGGTGAGATTCGAACTGACAAATTGCAGGCAATCGGCAGTAGGCAGTCAGCAGAAGTAGCCTGCAGTTCTGCATTCTAACCACTGAACCACCGCAGTTCTTCTAGACCCTAGTTAAAGACTTGCATCACCTCATTTAACTCAGATGTCAGAGGGAAATAGATTTGCATATTATCAGCATATTAACGGCACCCAGCCCAGACCCACAATTGACCTCACTCAGCATCTTCATAAGAATACTAAACAATAAAGGTGGTCCTAAAAAACAAACATCCTAGAAGCCACTCTCTGGAAGGAGATAAGAATAATGCCAAACACAGATAATTAACTGATCAGGATACCATGATCAGAGCTATATTCAGGAAGATTAATATAACGAACTCCAGAGCATGTGATCTAATGCCCCAGGTAGTTCTGGGGCTAAAATGCAGGGCTGAAACCCACTACAATAATTTGGATAATTCAAATGAATGCATAAAATTGATTGACCCCTCAAATATCTTCATGAAAAATGGAATTTGCAAATTAGTTATCTTTAAATAAATAACACCATCTCTTTTGACAGAGAGAATGAATTCCTGATATAAGGAGGCATTTCCAACATTCTAGATCAGTCCACTTCTTCCAGATCTTAATAGCTTAATAGCTAAAAATCGAGGCTACATGCAGTAGCTAGAAATGCATTTTGGGGAAAAAAATCTGGATGACCCTCCCGATTCTGTTACAAGTGTCGTATCAGGTTACAAACAGATGCAAACAACTTTCTCTTTTATATTTTCACAAATTCATTTCAATGGATTACCAAAGTTTGCAGAATGATAAGCCAGCATTCTATAGTACAGAATCCCTTTGTGATAAAAGCAGTTCTATTAGACAGTACCACGACTTCTTTCTTTGCCCCCACATTGCATGTAACAGGTACATCTTAAGACTCCACAACCTCTCCTTTCAACAGGTCCAATATAGCCTCTTTGTAGTAGATATTTCCTCCATATATTGGTGGAGGGGAAAAACAAGCAATGTTGTCATTATTGAAGGACAAGACTGGCACAGAAGCATACCAACTTTGTTAAATAATGTTATTCCCTTTTAAATGGGGATATCTGAAATAAAAGGAATCTAAGAATTCACTGTTTTGATGATCACTTGTACAATTCTACAAGTTGCACAATTTATTCACAATATCGTAATCAGTAATGGTTTATTTGAACGTTATTAGTTTTAGATGTATCCTGTATCATGTTAGGTAGCAGTCTGGTTCCCACATGTATGTTCATCACATGATATCTAAAACATCAAGTATAACCTAAAGATATAACATATAGCATTAGATATAGGAACAGATTATGGCAGACTAAATTCCACATACTAAATTACTTATCCATTATCTATGTATCATCATTAATTGACATTTCAACGGACAACAATTGAAGCAAAGTATATATATATGCAGAACTGTTTTGTGATCAACTCAGCAAGTAAAATGTTTAAGAATCAAACTGCAAGGTGATTTGCATCTTCAGGATACTGAAAGAAGCTGAAAAACCTATTTAGCATGGGGAAAGCAACATGCCTCCTACTGATGAGATGAGCCATGAGGCAGACAAGGAAAAGAAAACAGTGTTGTTTACCAGTGGCATTATGGTCACTGGTCCTGATACAGAACAAGGTTGCTAACCTCTACTCTAAATAGTTTTCTCCAGACTGGAACCCTCCATATGAGTTATACCACATGGGTACAACTCTCAGAATTTCTAGATGAAATCAATGCTGACTTTATTCAATTGTTTTCTTCATTTCAATAAAATCTAATCCTGAAGGCTCTAGGCAGCTACCAAACTCATCATAAATGAAAACATCCATAAGGGAAAAAATGTAGGAATTACACTTCAAACAATTCTGACGAGTGCTAAGGTAGGAAAATGCAGTATTAACATTTATCTTAAAATTAATATGCTAGACACAAATAGATAAATTTAACGGAGAACAGCATATACTGCTACCCTTCAAAAAGACTTTGACTATGTATCAGAATGGTCAAACAAATGGTAACTTCAAATCTCAACAAATAAATGCTCTGTCTTACATATTGGCAAAAAAATCAGAAAATAAAATACAGGCTGAATAGTCAAGACCTTGTTGATGATCCAAACTCTGTCAAGGATCTTGGAGTACTCATCTCTAATGACCTAAGTGCTAGAGCCCACTATAACTACATAGCCAAAAAGGCGTTAAGAGTTTTTAACCTAATCTTACGTAGCTTTTTCTCTGGTAGTATAACACTAATAACTAGAGCATACAAAACATTTGCTAGACCAATACTCAAATACAGCTCATCAGTCTGGAACCCACATTACGTATCTGATATTAACACAGTTGAGAAAGTCCAGAAATATTTCACAAGAAGAGTTCTCCACTCCTCTACTCGTTGTAGAATACCTTATGCCACCAGACTTGAAATTCTAGACCTAGAAAAACTAGAACTATGCCGCTTTCGGTCCGATTTAAGTATGGTATATAAAATCATACGTTGCAATGTCCTACCTGTCAATGAATACTTCAGCTTCAACCATAACAACACAAGAGCACACAATAGATACAAACACAAGGTTAACCGCACCAAACTTGATTGCAGGAAATACGACTTCAGCAACAGAGTGATCAATGTCTGGAATACTCTACCTGACTCTGTGGTTTCTTCCCCCAAAACTTTAACCTTAGACTGTCTACTATAGACCTCACCCCTTTCCTAAGAGGTCTGTAGGGGGCATGCATAAGCGCACCAATGTGCCTACCGTCCCTTGTCCTATTGTTTCTTTTATTTTTCTTATATGTATCCATGTATTCATAACTATGTTTTTACTTATACCTATTATCTTGTAAGCAATTGACAAACCAAATAAAATAAAATAAATAAATAAATAAATATGGGCAACATAGAAATTTAATCAAGATTAATTACTATTTCTCAATCCCCTACAATTATATGAGATAACAACCTCCTCATCTTAATGGAAGTTGTACTAAGCACTAATGATTTTGTTTTTGTGTTACTTAATCTTCCTTCTGCAATGATCAGAGAAATCTAAACTAAAAACAGTATACATTTTTTCCAAGCAATATGAATATACATTTGAATGTCAAAATAGTGAGCAAGAGAAACTAAAGCACACAGCTTATACAGTAGGTATGTCTTTTTAAAAAAACCTTACCAGTGAATGGATTAATGGCAAACATTCCTTGATGGTTTCCATTTATGATGAGGAAAGTCAGTTTTCCCTGTGAATCAGTATCTGGATCAACAGCTTCAACTTGAAGGATGGAAGTGTTGGCTGGTGAATTCTCCAAGACAGAAGAATAAAAGACAGTTCTGGATATCTGAGGTGGATTATCATTGATGTCACTGATTTCAATGTAAATTTCAACCACAGAAGACAGGGGGACTGATCCTTTATCAACAGCAAGTACTGTCAACCAATAATGAGAACACAATTCTCTGTCGAGTGGCCCCATGGTAAAAATAACACCTGAGAGAAACAGAGTATTACATGGTTTCCAGTATCAAAAACAAAATTAAATACAGTATTATGATCTTTTTGAGAATTAAAGTGGAGTTTCTCTTCTGGAACTCTTGAAAAGCAACTTAATCTATGGAAATATACTCTTCTTCTTTATAATGACTATATTTTCAGTTTCTGCAGATATAAATCTATCCTAACCAATACAATGCAAGCTATATAACTGGTCCAATCTTATCATTAAACAAACAAGAAAAGCATTTACTATAAAATCAGGTGCATCTGAAAATGCAATGTGCTCTTTTGAGAAATTTATATAATATAGCCTTCTACTAACTCTAGTTAGTATATTATGAAGAAGCATGCATTCAATGCCTCCTACAGAATTATTATTTTTTTGTTGCAAGCAGGCAATGTTTGTTGTATACTAGAAGGCTTATGATGGTTAATGCCAGAGAAAAAAATGATAAATCATAATCTTATAAGTTATTATTTGATCACTCTTCTTCTATTCTCCCCCTACAATATACCATTATTACCTGTGTCATTTTCAATGTTGAAGAGAGCCATGCCAGATCCCTCTCTGATGAAATACTGGATTTGTCCATCTTTTCCTCTATCACCATCTTGAGCTACTACTCTCATCACAGGTGTCCCTTCTTGGCTGTTTTCTTTCACTGATCCTTCATACACAAAAGAATCAAAGGAAGGAGGGTGCAGATTTTCATTAATGTCCAAAACATTTACCTCAATATAGCAGAGAGAAGAGAGCTTCCCAGCATCACTTATCTTTACTGAGATATTATAAAACTCCATTTTTTCATAATCTAATTCTTTTTCCAATGTTAAAGACCCTGTAAGTTCATTCAGATGAAACGTATTTTCATGATCAGTGATCAGACTGTATTCCAGCTCTCCTTCAGAGGTAATATCTGGATCAAAAGCTTCCAGGAATAGTAGAATGGTCCCTAAAGGCAAATCCTCAGGAACATTCATCTTGTTCAAGGCTGGGATACAGTACGGAGCATTGTCATTTACATCTTCCAAAGAAATAACCAGATCAGCAATTGCAAAGAGTTGATGACCCTTTTGTGGCTGGTCTCTGGCTTCAACTTTTAATATGTACTGAGGCTCCAATTCTCTATCAAGAGTAGCAGTCACTACTACTTCTCCAGTAACACTGTTGATAGCAAATTTATCACTGTGTGTGAGAAAGGAATATTTCACTCTGCTGTTGTCATTTGTATCAGCATCATTAGCTGTCAACACAGCAACTGTTGTACCCATTCTTATGTCCTCTGGTATAGGTATTAAATATGTGCTTTGCAAAAATGTAGGTGCATTGTCATTTACATCCAGAACATTCACAGCTAATAATTTCCATGTTGACTTCTGAGGACTGCCGAGATCATATACTGTGATGTTAAGTACATAGAAACTTGTTCTTTCATGGTCCAAAGGAGAAAGTACTAGCAGTAAACCCACTTCTGTGTCAATATCAAAACAGCTCTCCTCGTTTCCCGAAGAGATGACATAGACCATCTTTCCATTAAAGCCAGCATCACTGTCTATTGCTGTCAACTGAGCAATGGTAGAGTTAACTGGGGTTGTCTCCGGTATATCAATAGACCGTGGAAAGGTGTCATCAAACTGTGGTGCATGACGGTTTATAAGATACGTATTCAACGAGGAATCTTCATCCTGGTGGTCTGGAGAGGGGGAGACAGCAAACTGCATTATGGTGTTAGCCAATTCCTTCAGTACCCCAGTTTCCTCACACTGAAAAGAGAGAGGAGTTTCTTGCTTGACCACAGTAATATTTATACATGCTGGGGATGCAGAATTATTTCCATCAGTAGCGCTAATTTTGAGAGCATAGGAAATCGGTAGGAGCGAGTGGTAGTGGAAATCCTTGAAATGTGCTCTCAGGGAAATAACACCAGACACCGGATTCAATTCAAAAAACTGTTCTTCATTGCCAGACTTGATTTCATATTTTATGGGATTTAGTTCATCCCTATCAATGGCTGAAACTGTGAACACAGAGTGCCCAATAGGTAAATCCCATGGAATGCTTCCATTGCAATTAATCTTCTCAAATACTGGCACATTATCATTTAGGTTATTCAGAAAGAGGGAAACATAAACATCAGTCTGATGACGAAAAGGAGATCCTGAATCTGATGCCCAGATGCGCAAATAATACAACCTCTGCATTAACTCATAATCCATTAATTTGGTAGTAGATATGATGCCTGTAAATGGGTCAATGACAAAGGGAACCGTTTTCTGATTGGCTATATTATATGTAACGAAGCCGTTCTCCCCACTATCACTATCTGTAGCCTTTACTGAGAGAACACTTGAGCCAGGAGGCAGATTTTCATCAAAACTACTGAGGTATGAAGATCGGGTAAAGCTAGGAGCATGATTGTTGCAATCAACAACGTCAACAATAACAGTGGTAGAAAGATGTCTATAGGTGGCTGTAACTTCAAATTCAAAATGAGACTGTTTATGGAAATCTATTCTTTTTGCTGTAGTTATCACACCAGTTTGTGGGTTGATTTTAAAGTTAATGCTATCAGAATTTAGTTTCAGCATATATTTTACATTTTGGAGAACTGGAGTAATTTGAACCATGGCAACATGACTTCCAGGGGGCGCAAATTCATTGAGTTGGACTTGATAACTATCTTTTTCAAATTTGGCAGAGGTATATTTAGAAGGTTGTATTTGAACAAATACAGTCTGGGAAAAAAGAGGTGGCTTGTTCTTGTCTTTAGCCTGCAAGCTGAGATTGAAACCACGTGGACTGTTGCTCCAATTGATCTCTTTGTCTGATACTATCATGAAGTCATTACTTCCCATGTATGATCTTACAGTTCTGAAATGCCCTCTTGGGTCTCCATCCACAATATCAACAGCATCCACCCCAGCTCCTGAGCCATCAGTTTTTACACTTAAAGTAGCGTAAAGGAGATCTTCAGCAGAATCAACTGGCTTCACTGAAGCAATAACAGGGGGTTTCCTGGTAGATGGTTCCACCAGGATGGTAAGACTGGCCATATTTCCAAAACCATTTCCTTCAGAGATCTTCCTCATTCTGTCCACAGCCAAGGCCTTTAACTGGTGCTTCCCTCTGTGGGTAGCATTCAGTCTCACTGCACTCATGATTATTCCACTGGTGGGATGAATGGTAAATAATTGTGACCTTGTGCTTAGCATATAATAGAACTCTGCATTCTGACCAATATCAGCATCTGTGGCACTGACCCAACCAATTGTAGTTTTCGGAGGTGTGTCTTCTTCAACTGTCACTTTATAAGAAGGGGGTGAGAATAGAGGCTTTAGGTCATTTCTGTCAAGAATTTGGACCAGCACTTTGGCCCATGTCTCGTAGGCAAATGTTTTCTCTCTGGCATGGATTATTAAAAGATACTTGTCTTTGAACTCTCTGTTCAACCGATCAGTGTTACCACTTCTGGTTCTAATTCTCAAAAAACAGAAGTCTCCAACAATATATTCTTCAGCTTTAAAGAGACCACTAGTATCCCCAAAAACTATTTGATATTTGATATCCCATGCTGGATCTGCGATGTATATACCCATTTTGACATAGCTCTCCATGTAAGTTTTGGGTGCTGAGTTTTCATAGATTGAAGTGTTATAAAGAGGATAAGTAAAGTGTAAAAGGGATCCATTGCCTTTCTCCGAATTCCCCTCACAAGCCAGAAAGAATGCTAAGCAAAGGGCAAAGTTCACAAAAAGCTTCCTTGTATCCATTGCAGATCCTAAAGGGAGGAAAATGAAAACAAGAGAGTGAATGGTTTTAGACAGAGCATGATATAAAAACATTATGTGACACCTAAGCTATATGTTTACTATTTACTATCAAGTTCTTTTTGTCATTTTTAAAGCTTAAACAACATAAGATTTATTTTTTCAGAAACCCTTTCAAGATAAAAAACCAGAAATAGTTCTATTTTCTATTTTAACTGTACCATCTCAATTCTAAGACAGCTCATTTTGCACGTTTGGGAATGCTGAATTGTGACCCTGTAACATGCATAATGTCATCAGGACTTGTCATCTGCTGCTCTATATGCCTTTTCCAGTTCAGGCAAGAAACTGATTTCCATTTCTTTTCTTCTGAAACAAAACTTTTTTTAGTTTAAAAGCTTACTAGATTCTTTTTTCTTGATCCATTTGTTTAGGTTAGCAGTAATTAGTCTATAATTTAAGAGAATCCCATAATGACATGTTTTTTTATATAGCAACAAAATGTAAGTTATGACTGTACAGCAGCTACATGATTCCAAGCAAAGGCGAAGCTGCTTTTAGATTGGATTCTGCAACTCATTTGCGCTGAAGCATCTTTCTGGAATTGAAGCACTGCAGCCTTAATATGCCATTTTATAGTAACATTACATACAATACAGAGATTTTGAACTGCATATAATATGGTAGTCAGGAAGTTGTCATCGTTTTCCTTAGTGAATTGTAGAAAGGTCCTTCATATGACTAAATCTCATGTCTTAGTAACTGGTTAAATATAATTGGCATGTTCATGCATCATGTTAATCCATAAACCAAATAAATCTCATTAAGGCTTAATGTGCTACATAAATTGAAGTGTGTGTGTGTGTGTGTGTAATATCAAAAGTTGTACAGCACTTGAAAGTATCAATTTCTTTCTAGAAAAAGCAACCATTTTAATAGTTAATCCACTATTAATTGTTTCACAGTATAATTGGGAAAACATTCTCTGACCCCTACAGGCACACTAATCAGTAACATGGAAAAATACGTTATATTGAAATACCATTTCATTTGGCATACAATGTAGCTGTCAATTTCTAAACATTTCATCACTGTTCGTTACATTTAGTCTACCAGCTTCCCTTAAATATTCTCCAAATGTATTGGATTCCCATAATTGGTCTTACTTGCTAAGAATTATGAGAACTACAGTCCATTATTATCAGGGCATCAGCTTGGAGGACACTGATCATCTAGAGACTAGACAAAGAGCAAATTAGCACATGGAGAAGCAAGATCAATCCTATATTACTTTGTATGTAAGTCTGAAGTAGTAATTATTCAGATACCCAAATAATGTTGGGAAATTCCTCTTGCAGTTTTCAAGATTAATTCTTACCCCTGACTAGCTTTTGAAATTCTTCTCTGAAGTCCAACTAATTCTTCATTCTTGAGTTTGCTAACTATGTGGGGCTTGACAACTAGCAACTGAACATCTTTCCTAACTTTTCCCTTTCCTCGCCTTCCTTATTGCAGAGAGCAGCAGTAACTTCTTCTAAAAAATAGCACGAAACTGCTCCAGAGGGTAGGATTGTAACAGTATAAAAGCATTCTAATATGCATATTGTCAAACTAAAGATTTCATTGTATAAAAAAATATCAATAACATACATTGGAACATCCCAAGACTACTATTATACTCTTGCACAGCACAATTCAGTAACGCTTACAGCTGCAGCAAAAAGGGATAAACAAGGAAAGCTATTTTCTCTCTTCCTTACAGTACTGCTATGGCTTCAGGTCTGCAGCATGCAAAATGTGCAGGGCTAATTAATTATCTGAAACAGAACTGCTAAGCTGTCAGCAATGCTTTCTACCAAGGGGTTTAGGCCTTGTGTTTCCATACTGGTCAAAGAGGCTTCCTCCTTTGTGGCCAGGAGGAACTGTCACCTATACAGTTTCTGCTCAGAGGTTCATATAGTATAAAATGCACATTGAAAGAGGAAATGTATGAGTTTGGAAGAGGAAAACAAGGCACAGGAAAAATAGAATCTATGGTACTGAAGTTATATTGAAGTGGTTTAGCTTTCTTTATTTAAATGAACTCACCCTGATACAACTGTGGAAGAATACACAGTTCAAAGAACGATCGATATCTACTGAGTGCATAATCATTCTTAACTATCTCTAAACATTGCTGCATTCATCTCTCAGACATATATTTCCCTACATGTCCTTGTCCTTCCACAATGTAGACAAGTGGCCCCCAAACTTTTGGGCACCAGGGATCGGTTCCATGGAAAGAGGTTTCTTCACAGACTGGAAGGGGTATGGTTTCATGTGCTGCCTGCATCCTGCAGATGGGGCTTTGCTTGGTTGGTTACTGGTTTCCACAACCTCATGCAAGGGGTGGGAAAATACTGTCCAAAAATCTGGCTTGGCCATACATATTGCTTCATTATCTGTGAAGGTCACTTGAAAATAGCAGTTTAAGTAAACAAATACACAGGAAATCACATAGATTATTTATTCAGAAGACCAAAGAATTAAAAGGTCAGTTATTCTCACATTTATAACTCCTACCTTTTCCATTGGGAATCCAATTATTGTACATAGTAATGCACAGCAGAAAAATCCCCCCAGACCAGTTTCTATCAGTTCACATTTAATCTGATGAAAGTATTGATTCTTGAGACTGCTTTCAAAGATAATTTTGGGGAAATTTTCATGGGTGGAAGATGGGTGACCTATGACGTCCTTGCATTAATTCTGGCACAGTGAATACCGATATCTATCTTTGCAAACTGCTCTATCTTCTCACTCTGCTAAACTTGAGGGAAGCTGACGCCATTTCTCCCATAGGCAAACATAGGGGTTTCAAAGAGATGAAAATCTGGTAATAAATAACAAAACTAGGACTTTCCTCCAAAACAAAGATTCAAATTGAGATTAACAGAGGAATGAACATAAGAGGACTGTTGCAGAAGACACAAACTAAACCTTCTGAATTGAACATTCAGCCAAAGTTTATTGAGCATGCCATCAATCTTCTTTGGGAAAAAAATGTTAGGACTTTCTGTGATCTGCTGGTCAGGGACCTGGTTAGCAGGCATATAGACAGAAGTCATTCATATTGTAGAAGCAAAGTTCACTGTGATGAAAAATTGGAGTTTGGGAGAATCACTGGGAATTTTATGTTCCTGTGACTAAATAGATTAAAAAAAACATTAAAGACTCAACAGTAGACAATGGACTTGACTATAAGTGATCAAGGGATCAGAGAGAGATTTAATTCTTTTAGTGCAGATCTTTAATTTTTGTGGATTTGTTTTGATAGTGGTATAATAAAGTGCAGTCCCTGATAAAGTGCTCATTGAATATACAAATACACAGCAGACACATTTAATGCTACCCTCTTTCGATTAGTTAGGGGGGGAAATTCCCTTTTTAATAAGTTTGATCAGAATGAACAGAGGACTACAAGAATGTCATTTCATTAGTTTTGGCATACTAGCATTCAAAAATGACATAACCTCCATTGCTTTGTCTTTCTAACAGAAAATGTTATTTTTAAAATCACATCCTTTCTTCAGATAACTATATACTATGAGCATGGCCTTGCAAGAAGTTGTTATACAAAGCATGATATACATAAATATATCCCATAATAATAATATCACTATTCAAAAGCTGATGTGCTGCAAATAAATATAGTACATAGTGTGGATCTAACCTGACTTTTATTGTTCCTGAAAATATTAGAAAGTATTGAATTTGAACCACAAAGTAAATTTACATGGTTAGTAAGCTGTATTTGTAGTAGTAAAAGTTATATTCAACCACTCTAATATGTAAACCATGGCTTGCAAAATACAGTGGCTGGACTCTCACAGCATAGTAACTTTAGCAAATTGTATTGTGACTTAATATGTGAACACAGCCAATGTCATGAGAATGCCAATAAAGCTATCAAGTAGAAAAGCAGTGGCTAAACTGGGGGCACTGCTGTGTTTTATATTTTTCTGTCCTTCTCAATCTATAATCCGCCATAATAATGGAGGCTATAACCCTTGAGATGAGAAACGGTTCACACTCCAATTATGTGCATTTTGATATTATTCTGTAAAGAATCTAGTTACCTAAGAGAAGTATAGCTCCATAGAGTAAACACACAGGATGAAGCTTTGTACTGCCAGGAATCCCAGGGCAATAAAGAAAGATAAATTACTACATTAGGAGATTAGATAGCAGATGGTTGTCTGCAGAAATGCCACTTTGTCTCGGCTTGCCTAAAGAAGCTGTAGATGGGACTTGGGAAAACCTTCAGCATTTTGGGGTCTTCATAAATAATTTCTATATTGCAGATGGGTATGCAATTCCTGCCCAGCACACTCTAGATGTAACTATGGCTTCTTTCAGAAGATATCAAGAACACTACATAAATGCATGCAGATGTTCTATATCCATTACTTGCAAGTGATATTAATGAGAGATGAATACATGGCAATCAGAAACTGCCTCTATTGAGGCTCCCCCCCCCCCAATTGCTACAATATTGTGACATGAAGAAAACAAAGATGATCAAATTCAAATTGCAAGTTCTTCTAATTATGAATTAATGAGCATTATGTTTGTCTGAAACAAGCCTTAGTTGAAGCAAGGAAATTCAAACAAATTTGTTAAAGAAACAGATACAATTGCTGTATAGCATTCATGTGGTGTGCTTGGAAGTTAGTCTATGTTTTGTAAATCATGATAGTAAAGCTATAGATGAGACAATAAGTGCATATTCCTGCTTCTTGTTCCTCCCATTGCTACTATCAGAAATCCAGCATGCCTAAAAGTCCAAACATGGCTTAACAAACCAAGGTGATAACCTAGTAATTAACAAGAAAGTCCTCCTTATTATATATCAGTACCTCTGTGGCGTACATAACCGTGATAGTATTTCTCTTCTAGGTATGAACACTATGTAAAGTCAAACTATGGGCAGTGAATTAAATTTTTAGTCTTTCTAGCTTTTGCTAACTCC